AAGACTGAGATGACTCAACAGCAATGCTATATTTGCATTTAGGGGATTTCCTAGTTTTGGCAAGTTGCATTTAGAACGAAGTTGTGTAGCAAATTGTATTTAGAAGACTTAATGCTCTATTAGTTCCCATTCAAATAAAAGACTTAACTTTGAGAGACCTGGATGGCACAGTAGATCACAATATTATTGTTTCATCTTTTGTTTTGGGACCTTGGCAATTTCAGTTCAGTTTGCATTAGTATGCTCCTTGACAATAAGTTAGAAGACTTATTCAAAAACATAGTGTGAACAACAAATTGATTTAAAAACAAGAATGATAACAAAATGACAACAATGGCCCAAAGTACTTCACAAATCAACATATAAGAAAGACATGCAAATAAAAGCAAAGTACTCTGGATGCTGAAAATCTGAAATAAAAACAGAAACTGCTGGAAAAATGCTGCAGGTCTACAGTACCTGTGGAAAGAGAAACAGAATTAATATTTCGAGTCCACTAAGACTTTTGTTCAGAGCTAGCCAAGCAGGACAGGAATTGCAGCATGGGTCAGTGATGTATGCCCAGTGACAAGGTATGGCCAGCAATGCTGTAAGAAAATCATTGGTCTTCAATGCTCCGCAAGACTAAGTGCCACCATCTTCTGTCCGCAACTGCACAAATACACAGGGCCACCTCCCAGTCTGCCACTATATACACCTGCAAAGGCTGTTGGACTACAACTCTCACAACTCTCTTGTCCACTCAATGGCTCTCACACACCCCATACTCCCACACTAGTAACTTTTCCTGCCGTCTGCCTCAAACCCCAAGCTGATGTCTCAGCAGCACCATGACTGACCTATCTGTAATCCCCAGATTGTTTCCACTTCACTTGCAGGATTAATTGTAGCCGCTCCTGGTAGTGTAATCAGGTAACCTCCTGACTGACTGTAGTTCCCCTTCATCCCACTAAATACTCTTCCTCTTTGACTTTCACACGTCACCATCTAATTAAACACTTGGCAGTGTGTTTGCCATCTAAGCTGCTGGCACAGGCTGTAGCTCTGTCATTGATTTAGCACTGTGCCATATAGTGAGATGTCCACCGTCTGTCCGACTGGTACATTCACTCTTCAGTGCTCCCCACTGTCACAAGCTGCCTGCCTCTTCCTCTTGTGCTAAAATCAAACTAAACTGCAGGGACTGGCAGACCGTGACTGAGCTCTCGACCTTGTGTGCTAAGAAAGCAATATTACCCACACAGAGGCTGGGGTAGCCTGTAACTCAGTGCTGAGGTGGGTGAGCACTAAGAAAGCAAGCTAGCAGCCATAAGGTGTATGTATCCACTTTGTACAAAAGTATCCTGTGCAGATGCACAAGATGCATGGCTATCCCGAGGAGCAAAGTGACCTGGGTAAATGCATGCAAGTTGCGGGTGGCATGTCAGCTCCAGAACAAAGTGTTGAAGGCCCTGCTGAAATGGTGGCTGATTTGTTCTGAGAGCTGGCCTTGGTCATCTCGTGGGGCTGGTGGTCTGCCAATACTGAATGATGTTGGTGAAGGGTCAGGAAGGATGGCGGCCATGCAGCATACAGAAGAAGCAGTTGCATGATGTGCAGCACAGGCATTTGGCAAACTGTACCCACCAGGTACTGCTGTGTTTTACATGTTGGGAATTTGTGCTGTTTTGTTTCTTAGTGGAGGAGAGAAGAATTGGAAGTGGAATGTAAATAGGGCAAGTGGGTCCTTTAATGAGTTACATATGCATAAAAATGCACTAGTCACTTCTCAAAGGCAAGATTTTGAAGTTGTTGTTTAAGGCTCAAGGAGCAAATTGGCAATTTTTTTCAAGTTTTTTTAATTCTCCCCCTAGTTTGCTCAGTTAGCTCAATTGGCTGAACGTCTGGTTTGCGATACAGAATGATGGCAACAGCATATATTCAATTCCTGCACCAGCTGAAGTTACCCTGAAGGATTCTCCTTCTCAACCTCTCCCCTTGCCTGAGGTATGGTGACCCTCCGATTAAATCACCACCAGTTGTCTCTGTTTCTCTCTCTAATGCGAGAGCAGCAGTTCCCCTGGAACTATGTTGACTTTACCTTACCTATCTCACTCTGAAACTATACAGCTGTTCCTGGACTGTCCACAAGAGGAAACCCAACTCTCTACACCTGTGTCCTGCCGAGCTCCCTAAGAATCTTATATGTTTCAAGGTGAGAGTTGTTTATGCAAGAGGGAAGCCTTTGTGAAATGATCTTTAGACTGAACAAAACAGATTAAAGGTCTGTGTAAGAATTTCAGAGTGGAATGACTGAGGTAGGGAAGAAATGAAAATAAATTATTGTTGGTGAAGGATCGAATTTAGAGTTCACAGTTCAACACAGGGTCTATTTTATTCATTCAGTGAGTATGAGCAAGACCAACATATGTTACCTATTCCCCAACTACCCTGGAGCAAGCAGTAGTGACCCACCTTCTGGAAACGCCACAATGCAGTTGGTGTACATATACCCCAGTGTCCAGGTTTCTAATGTCTAAACTGATGGCAACTTCAGAAACAATCTGGTTTTGTAGCAAGAGAACAGAGATGTGGAGGAGCTGAAAACAACGTTAAGCTGAAAATTCTGGCTTGCCTATATTTCTCCATATCAAGTAAGCAGGCTAACAGTAAAGAGATCAAGTTGTCAAGGTACTTGGCACAAATGTAGAAATCACTGTAATTTGCACCACAAAAGCTGTTTGCGAGCTACTGAAAGGTATGGCTGAAGGTCCAGCCTCAAATGTAATAAAAAGAGGGTTAAGCATAGGAGGCTTGGGTTCAAGTCCCACCTGATCCAAAGGTGTGTAATGCCTTCATTGAACAAGTTGGTTAGAAAATATCCAGAACATTGAGGCATTGTACACAATTCAGCGAAGTGTCAACTAGCAATTTGCAGAGAAGTATTTGCTGTGTCAGTTTTAGGAAACTTGCGAGGGTGATCCTGTGAACTTGAATAATGGGCACCAGGTGCAGGAGTGGGATGTCCTGGTCAATGTTACCAAATGCTGTAGAGAGAGAAAATGCATTTTATAACAGAAAAAATAATTTATTCCAACTCTGGGAGAGAGTGATTACCAATTTGAAGGAAATCATGTAGAGTTCTAGTGGGACTTGGAAGGCACAACATGTGAGGTGTTGAAGGGTGGACATCAGATGGTATGAAGTATTAAAACCTACATTGTTGGACTAATATTGGGACAGAATTAAGAGAGATTGTCCATCTACTTGACAATGTTACATCTTGAGTTTTGTAAAGTCATTCATGAGATGCAAGCATCACTAGTTAGGCCAGCATTTAGTTCCCATCCGCAGGTTCTGTTGGGAAGGTGGTGATGAGCTGCCTTCTTGAACTACTACAGACCATGGATGTTAAGTCCACTCAAAGTGCTGTTAGGAAGAAAGTTCCAGGATTTAGAGCTAGTGAGAATTGAGGGACGTTGAATATATTTATAACTCGGGATTGTGTGTACCTTGGAGGGAAGCTGGCAAGTGGTGGTGTTCCCATACATCTGTTGTGCTAATCCCTCCAGTTGGTAGAGTTCTCTGTTGAGAAGGTGCTTTCAAAGGAGCTTGGATGAGTTGCTGCAGTGCATCATGTAGATGGTACACCGTGTTGCTACTGTGCATCAGTGGTGAAGTGAGTCAATGTTAAATGTGGTGGATGGGATAGCAGTCAAGTGTGCTGCTTTGTCCTGGATGATGCCAAGCTTTGTATCACTGGAGTTGCACACATCCAGGCAAGTAGAGGTTATTACATCACACTTCTAACTTGCACCACGTGGATGGTGGACAGGCATGAGGGAGACAGGAGGCAAATTACTCATTCCAGCATTCCCAGCCCTTGACTTGAGTGAATCATTACATCTGAGCAAGAGCACTTAATGCATACATCAGCTGCACATACTGGAAAAACAATGCTGTTCCTCAGCATTGACACCATTCATCTGAATAGGTGTAAAATTTCCATTGAAAATACAAGTAAATCTGCTGTAAGATGCCATAAAATAGAGCAGCACATTGGACTATTTATTCTTTGCTGTAAACTACAGTAACTGACTGAAGCCTGTAGTACCTGAGGGTCCTCAATTCCATTTGTGCACTAAGGTAATTGAGAAAAGATCCAGAGGCAAGTTGAGGACTTTTTTTTTCAAATTACCTTGTTATAATTTGAAATAGACTGCCTGGAGGGGTGGTGGAGGCAGACTTGATAGTGACTTTCAATAGGAGATTGGATAATACTTGGAGTGGAAAAACGTACACGGCTATAACAGAATGGGTAGAGAGGTTAGACTAACTGGATAGTCTTTGAAACTGCTAGTTTTAAGAACGATAGGCTGGATGAACTCCTCAGCTTTATGGTTATATTAATCGAAGTCTATTTTACATGATTCTTTATTTAAGTACAATGTAATTATAAAACTACTCTCCTTATGTAATACACCTGCATGGATCAGAATCATTTTGTTTAATAGTTATCATAATATTTATTTGTGAGATGTGCACTCACCTTATTCTGTTTTAATTATTTGAAACCAGTCCAGAAATCTAAATCTATTCTTTTTTGGAAGCATTAACAATGTGTTCAGAGTTGAATAGTCAGTGATTTTTTTTTCCTTGCAGAAGCAAGAACCACCTCCATCATTTCTGTAGCATGCCTATTTTAAACATGAAATACTGCTAGCTATCTGGATGAAGGATTTAAATATGGATGCTAGCTGCTGATATTTTCCAGTAATGTTTGTCAGTCCAGGATCTGTGCCCGAGGTCTAAATTTGCTCAATTAAACCATTGATTTGCTTTTTTGTCTTCACCCATTTGATGGGCACTAGAATTTTTCCACATCAGCAAGCTCCTTTCATAGGCCACCAAAAGGTCACACCCGCCTCTAAACAGCTCTGTTTCCCTGTCTGGCTCCGGTATAATTGGCTGATTGTGTTTGTGGTGATTGACTCATCCCTCCCCCATCGCAGTCCCAGATAGATGCTAGCTCCCGGAGGAGAATCTCTGCGATCTACTCTGCTCCTCACAGACGGAGGCAGAGCCATTACGCAGTTTGCAGTTGCAGCTGAAGCTTCCATTTTTGTGTGATACCAGCTTCGTGCCTCGCAGGGGTAGCATTTGTCCTCCCCGATGCTGTAAATCTGAATTCTGTACGACAACCCTTAATCCTTTCAGTCAGAAGTGGCAGCTTTCATATGATGCGCTGAGATGGTACACCAAGAGAACTGTGCTTATCAGGTAAAGATGCTGTGATACATAGAAAGGTACACTTGGAAGTCTGCTTAGCTTGCTTTCTGAACAGCAGCAGTTTGCTACGTGGTGTATTCTGCTTGTCCTTAATAACATTGATTTATTTTTAAAAGGAGCTTTTGAAATATTTCCTGTAATTGTTCTGGTATGGTAGAATTGAATGGCAGAGTAAATCTTATACAACAGTGCATTTTATTGTATAATTTATCAAGTGTGCATGTAGAAGAGGAAGAGAGAAAAAAAGATCAAATACAGAGCCAGAGGGAAGCTAAATTCATCAGATTAAGACATTGTTCCAAGACAATATATGCATTGTCACAAAACATTAATTGATGTTTTAGTTACATAATTAGGGGGGAAATGCATTTGGGACACTCTGATAGATTGCCCAGTAGCAATTAAAGTTTTTATTCTGGTATTGCAGTAAGTAATGAGTTCATGTCCTTTGGGAATTCTGACTATGTTGGAGAATATGCAGCAATGTTTCTTTGTAATGCCTTAGCTACTGTCCATTGAAAAATAGCTGTGCAGCAAATAATATGATTGTAGATGTTGCTTCTATCAACATAAAATAAATATTAAACATGTGTGCCCTTTCTTAAATCCTGAATTTTGATTGATTTTCTAGGTGGAATGTCATAATCAAACTATTTCAATACAAGGTAAAATAAGCTAACCATGGCCCCAAAAATAAGTGACCTAAAAGGAATTGATCTACTGAGTTCATGTCCTATGGGAAGTCTATAGCGAAGAGGATGCAGCACTGTTTCTTTGTGATGTTTCAGTTACAATGTTGAACTGTTTTACTTCAGTCACTGGAATCCTTTAGAGGCCTAGATCAATGCTCTGTCTGAACAGCAGCAGACATTTACAGTAAATTGAGGCCGTCGTCAATCATTAGTTTACAAGCATAATGTGGTCCCTCAAAATTGCAAATGTGTTCAAAAATCCAGAATAGTTTTCATTTGCCCCAAGAATAGACAGAGTAGTTTCAATATAATTTCACCTGCTTTGAGAATTTTTCTGAATCTGTGTAATGCATCTAAAAAGTTAGTCAGAGTTAATGTTTCAGGCCTGGTGACCCTTCCTCAGAACTAGTTCTGATTTTTTTCTTCACAGATGCTGCCAGACCTTCTGAGCTTTTCCAGCAACTTTGTTTTTGTTCCTGATTTACAGCATCTGCAATTCTTTCTGTTTTTATAAAAATTAGTCAATTACCTCTTTTTTTTGATAAAGATGGCAGAACTAATGGGGTGAAAGTAGCAGATCATGTCATGCTTAAATTATAGGGTTCTGTATACATCCGCACAGCTTGAGTTCCATGCCCAATTTGGCACTGAGGTACAAAGGGACATTCAGTCCTCAGAGACAGTACGGAGAAACACTGTAAAACTGATTGCGATACCAGACTGAAGTAAAGAGAAAAGGCTGGAGCAGCTTGAAGTCTTCTGCCTTGAAACCAGGCAGCTGAGAAAAGACAAGGTGTAGAGCTGAATGAACACAGCAGGCCAAGCAGCATTATAGGAGCAGGAAGGCTGACCTTTTGAGCCTAGACCCTTCATTTTTTCTGATGAAGGGTCTAGGCCCGAAACGTCAGTCTTCCTGCTCCTATGATGCTGCTTGGCCTGCTGTGTTCATCCAGCTCTACAGCTTGTTATCTCAGATTCTCCAGCATCTGCAGTTCCTACTATCAGCTGAGAAAAGACCACAGTTTATAAGCACACTTTGATAGTAGAGTAATAGTAGCCTTGAAATTCTGCTGCACAGTGCCATTTTTCAGGCTCTAAGTAGTCTCTGGAGCCTCCATTGTAGTGGTCAGGAGTTGAACACACATTACAAATGAGTCTACCATATTAATAAATTTCAAAATATAAGGGGATAGGGCCCACATGTGAAATAGGCATATGCACTCTGCATTTGCAAATAAGGGGTCTGTCACCAATTTAAAGTCGACCTTGCAAGGTGAGTTTGCCCTGAGGCACAAATGACCTTGCTGTGTTCCTACCATACAATAATATTTTCACTTCAGAAGTGCTCAATTGGCGATAAAACACATTGAGATGATGTGAAATGTGAAAGGCTGTATATTTACAAACCTCTTTCCAAGAGTTCCTCAGTTTTAAACTAGGATAACAGGTGTCTAAATGTGACTACCAAACACAATGTGTAATAAAGCACACATTATACATTAGATCAGGCGTAAGCAATTTAGCCCCTCCAGTCTGCTCTACCATTTGATGCAACCATGGATGAGCTCACCTCAGCCTCACCTTCACTTTCCTGCCCACTCTCTAACCCTTTAAGCCATTGCTAATTAAAAATGTCTACATTCTCCTCAAATTTATTCCGTGCACTGGCACCCACTCATACTGGCTAGTGATTTTCACTGATTCATGACCCTTTGGGAGAAGCAATTCCTCTTTATCTTAGCAGATTTAAAACTATCTCTTAGCATAAAACTATGATTTCTCATTCTAGATTGGCATACAAATATCCACTCTATGTCTAATTTGTCAATTCCCTTTATCATTTTGTACGGCTCAATTAAATCTCTTCTTGCACATCTAAGCTAGCAGGTATAGATCTAAACTGCTGAATTCAAGCTCATAAAACAACCCTTTCATCTCTGGAATTAATCCAATGAACTATATCTGAAATGCCTCCAATGTAATTACATTTCTCATCAAATAAAGCTATCTATGTGCAGTACTGTCACCAATCTCACCAATACCTGGCACAGTTGCAACACTTCCTTAATTAAATACCTGTTCCTTTCGCAATAAACGCCAAAATTTAATTTGCCCTGCTTATTACCTGATATACTTGCATACCAGCTTTCTGCTGGACACCCAGATCCTTCTGCACTGAAGTACCTTGAAGTTTCTCTTCATTTAGATAATAAATTGCCTTTTAATTCTTCTGACCAAAATGATAACCTCACATTTATCCATATTAAACTCCATCTGCCAACTTTTAGCCCATTCACCTAACCTATCCATATCTATTTGCAAATGATCTTATTTCTTTGTTGCAATTTACTTTCCCACCTATCTTAGTCTCATCTGCAAATTTGGTGTTTGTACCGTCTGTCCCTGCATCCAAGTTATTGATATAAATTGCAAACAGTTGGTGGCCCAAGGACAAAGCCCTATGGCCCCCACTAGTTACAGCCTGTCAACCAGAGAAAAGACCCATTTATCCTGATTTTCTGTTTTTTGTTCGTTAGCCAATCTGCTATCCAAGCTAATATATTACCCCTAATCTACCTCTTGTGATTTTACCTTTTCTATTAATTCTTTTTGTGGCCTCTTATCAAATGCCTTCAGGAAGTCCAGATATACTACATCTACAGGATCCCCATTATTCAATTTTCTTGTTAGATTTTCAAAGAACTCGAGCAAATTAATCAAACACGATTTACCTTTCATGAAATCATACTGACTCTGATCGGTTCTGTTTTGACTTTCCAATGTCCCATTAATGACTCTTTAATAGTGGACTCCAACAAGTTCCCAATGACAGATGTTAAATTAACTGGCCTGCCATTTCCTACTTTCTACCTGCCATCCTTTTGAGTAAGGAACTGTTTGGAACCATTCCAGAATCTGTGGAATTTTGGAATATTATAACAAATACATCCAATGCTGCCTTAAGACCATAGGATATAGGCTGTCTAGCCTGGGGACTTATTTGCCATTTGTCCCAGTAGTTTGCTGAGTACATTTTGCCTAGTGATGGTGGTTGTTTTAAGTTCATCCCTTTCTATAAACTCTGCATTACTTGTTATTATTGGGACAGTTTCACTGTCCTTCAGTGTGAAAACTGAGGCAAAATGTTGAGTTAATGTTTCTGCCATTTCTGTGTTCCCTGTTATTTATTCCTCAGTCTCATCCGCCAAGAGGCCAACATTCACTTTCGCAACTCTCTTCCTTTTTATATAATTGTAGAAGCTTTTAATATCCATTTTTATATTTTGCACTAGTTTTGTTTCAAAATCTATGTTTGCTCTTTTGGTTACTTTGTTTTGTTACTATCTGGTCTTTAAAAGTTTCCCAAACCCCTAGCATGCCACTGATCTTTAAAATATTGTGTGCCTTAGTTCATGCCTTTGTGTTATCTTTTAACTTTGTTGCCTAGCCATGGATGTTTCTTCCCCTCCCACATTCTTTCTTCCTTTCTGGAATACATTTTACATTGGAGGAGTTGAATATCTCCTTTAAATGTCTGCCACTGTTCATCAGTCGTGCTACCTGTTAGTCTTTCTACCCAGTCCATTAGGGCCAAATCTGTCCTCATGTTTAGGCAATTATCTTTGTTTTACACCAGAAGACTAGTGTGGGACTCAAGTTTCCCGTCCTCAACCTGAATTTGAAATTCCAGCATGTTAGGATCACTTTCCTTGAAGGATTCTTTACTATGTGATCATTAATTAATCCCATCTCCTTACACAGTACTAAATCCAACTTAGCCGGCTGTAACAGCTATACCACACACACACACACCACCACCCCCACCCCCCAAACCCTGAGTTTGGTCTGCTCTTTCATATGATGCTATTTCTTCCAACATAAAATTGCTTTTGAAATAACAAGATACTGATGTAGGACTGGGACCTACTTTATTTACTTCACTTCTAGTAATATAATAGCACATCTTGCAATGAAGTGTTGTGTTTTGCACACAGCTCTTTGTTTAACAAAACACACATCTCTTATTTAAACTGGGAGCTTGAAGCTGGTAGGGTAGACGGAGTAACAAATCCCTGTTGCCCTGACCTTGACAATGTGAATCACAGATATTTTGAAGCCTGGATCCACTTTACATGTTTCCAGTCAGTGGCTGGCTTGAAACCAATGAGCAGCACCTGCTAGTCAATGGGCAGGAGATGAATTTGAGACAACAGGAGGTGGCCTCTTGGCACAAACAATAACAAACAGCTACAAAGGAAGTTTTGGGAGGCTTTTACACAGGAACGAAAGTATATAACTCAGCTCACAGTTAAGATTATTCTCAGGGCCAGATTATATAATTAGATCCAAGTATGTATATTTGAAGAATCTTGACAGCTTCAGAAGAGCAAGTGGCAATTAAATTTGAAAAGATCTGAGCAGGATATCAGCATATCATCCTGCTTAGATGTACCGAATAGATTCAACGTGCTGCTGTATTCTATGGCATTTTACAGCAGATTTACTTCTATTTTCACTGGAAGTTTTACACCTGTTCAGATGAATGGCTTCAATACTGAGTAACAGCATTGTTTTTCCAGTATGGGCGGCTGATGTAAGCATCAAGTGCTGTTGCTCAGGTGTAGTGATTCACTCAAGTCAAGGGCTGGGAATACTGGAATGAATAATTTGCCTCCTGTCTCCCTCATGCCTGTCCACCATCCACAAGGTACAAGTTAGGAGTGTGATGTAATAGCTTTTACTTGCCTGGATGTGTGCAACCCTAGTGATACTCAAGAAGTTTGACATCATCCAGGACAAAGCAGCACACTTGATTGCTATCCCGTCCACCACATTTAACATTGACTCGCTTCACCACTGACACACAGTAGTAACTACCTGCACACCCAGTTTCCACTGAGAAATTGAAATAAAATAACCCCAAATAAAGCAGGCGTTCAGTTTAACTAATAACATTGGGACTTGGTTCCCAATAGTTCTCTAATACAAACAGTATTTTGCAATTTTTAAAAGCTGTATGCATAATTTTTAAATTTAGAAGTAATGAAGAGAATAGTCCTTGGTTTTATGGATCTGTGTAATTGCACTGTGAAGGCAGAAATGACTGAACCATTTTATATTTCACATATTAAGAGAAATTTGATTTTCCTTTTCTTTTTCTTGGATTTAAGTCCCTGGGATCCATGTTCCAGCTTCTTTCATAACTGGATAATAGCAGAATTTGAACTGAATGTACCAGTTGACAGTGACAAATGCAAACACACCCGTAAGGCTGAGAAATTTTTTGCTTTGCCAAATTAGTTTTACAGTGGAGGATGCTGTAACTTGAATAACTGAGACGATTCATTTGACTACATAAAGCACACATTGTTTATCGCATAAGAAGGAGCTGAATGATGTGTTTGAACCTGTGCACATTTTCTTTTTGAATTGTTTTGTTGACCATAGGAATGTTTTTTGTGCATTCTAGGGCTGTGTTTGGAATGTAACAAAAGAGCACAGCAACAAATCCAATTTTGTAGTAAGTTGTGATTTTTTTCTTTTCTAACATTATTTCATGAAGATTATTATTTGTTCTGTATCCAAATAGGAAAACCATCAAATATCTAATAACAATCAGTCAAAGCTAGTAACTTAAAAAGGAAAAAGATAAATACAAGCTGTTTGTATAATTTTACAGAAGACAGCGTCGGTACTTAGGTTGTACATTGATGTTACACGCTTCAGGGTTTAAACAGATCAGTACCAGTCAGAAATTTGCTACACCAGGGGTTACACTGAATTTTTTGAGAAAATACTGTATAAAATGTTGGCCTTCTTACTTAAGGTGGGGCAACTTGAATGGGAAGCAGTTCAGGGAATATTCATAAGGCTGTTTCCTGGGATAAAGGATTTGTCTTTTGAGAAAAGGTTGAGCTGTTTGAATTATACTGATAGGAGTTTAGAAGAATGAGATATGATCCTGTTGAAACATGTAGGAATCTGAGATGTCTTGAAAGAGTAGATGCTGAGAGGATGTCTTGCCTCATGGGAGTTACATAGGACTCGGAGATTCAGTTTTATAATAAGGCTGAGATGCATAATTACTTCTCTGGCCGTTAAAGTCTTTGGAATCCTCTTACATAGAGTGCAGTGCAGACAAGGTCATTTAATGTATTCAAGGATGAGTTAATCACGGGGGTCAAAGGTTATGAGGGACAGGCAGAAAATTGGAATTAAGGCCACACTCAGATCGTTCATGGTACTGTTGAATTTGCAGAACAGGCTTGATGGGCCAAATGGCTTACCCATGCTCCTGTTTCCCATAGAGTCATACAGTATGGAAACGGACCCTTCAGTCCAACTGGTCCACACCGACCATGTTACCAAACCAAACTAGTCCCACTTACTTGCGTTTGGCCCATATCCCTCCAAACTTTCCCTATTCATGTACTTGTCCAAACGTCTTTTAAATGTTGTAACTGTACCTGCATCCATCACTTCCTCTGGCAGTTCATTCCACGCACGAACCACTCTCTGCGTAAAAAAAAAAGTTGCCTCTTTTATTATCTTTGAATCTTTCTCCTTTCGCCTTGAAAGTATGCCCCTAGTTTTGAACTCCCCCACCCGAGGGAAAAGACCCTTGCTATTCACTTTATCTATGCTTCTCCTGATTTTATTAACCTCTAAGTTCACCCCTCAACCTCCTATGCTCCGGTGAAAGAAGTCCCAGCCTATCCAACCTATCTTAATAGTTCACACTCTCCATTCCGGGCAACATTGTGGTAAATCTTCTTTTCTGAACCTCTCCAATTTAGCAGGGCAACCAGAACCAGACGTACTACCCCAGAAGAGGCTTCACCAACATTCTATACAACCTCAACACAGTATCTCAACTTCTATACTCCAAGCAATGAAGGCAAGCAGGTTAAACACCTTCTTAACCACCCTATCTACCTGTGACGCAAATTTCAAAGAATTATGTACCTGAAACCCTAGGGGTTTCTGTTCTACAACACCACCCAGGGTGCTACCATTGATTGTACAAGTCCTGTCCTTGTTTGTTTTACCAAAATGCAATATCTCACATGTATCCAAATTTATCTAAATAACAGTGTTCTGACACATTCTCAACACCTCCGGTAATGACACAGCCGAATGATTCAAGCTTGGGCTGACATATAGCAAACAAATTTCTTGCCACACAAGTGTGAAGACAGTGACCACTGCCAACAAATCAGAGTCTACCCACCTTCCCTTGATATTCAGTGGCATTACCATTGCCAAGATTCCCACCATCAATATTTTGGGAGGTCGCCATGACCAGGAACCTAACTGGATTAGCGATAAAAGTTGTTGCTAAAAGAAGCAAGCCAGAGGCTGGGAATAGTAAAGCAAGTTGCTTTCCTTGTGACTCCCTGAAGTCTTTCCACCATGTACAAAGTACAAATCAAGATTGCAGTGAAATTTGCCAGGATAAATGCAGTTCAAATAGCACTCTAGAAGCTCAACACCATCCAGGGATTACGGCCTATTTGATTGGCAGCCCATTCTAAACATTCACTCCTTCTACCATTTGCATACAGTGCAGGCTACAAGATGTGATACAGCACTCTTAAGCTTCTTCAACAACACTGCTCAAATTGGTAGTTTCTATCAAGCATTTCCAAAGCTATTTTCCAAATAGACCACATTTTAACAATTGAAAATTAGCATGATCACAGATGCCAACAAAAAAAGCATTTAAGCAACATAGCAACATTCAGTGTATAATTATTAAAGTTGGCTAAGTTTAGATGACCGTATTGTATGAATATGAAAAAAACTATTTTTACACACATTGTAAAAATGTTATGTTGTTATTAGACCCGTACTTCATCTGAGGCATTTTCAGTTCATGAAGCTTAACCAGGAAGTAGCAAAAGCACAGATTGAGCACCTTGAAATGCCCGTATCGGCTGTTACACTTTCACTGTGGAAGTGTTGGGCTCAGGCCGTTCCATGTTACCGGGGTAATGGGGATTGGTTCAGAGAGGCTGCAGCTGAGAAGCAGAGATATCACCAACTGGTTCAAGGGCCTGGCTTTGAGCAAAAAGAAGGCCCCACTACCAAAGACATTTTTCCCTCCTCACCCTTATCTGCTTTCCGGAGGGACCACTCTCTCCATGACTCCCTTGTCCGCTCCACACTCCCCACCAGCCCCACCATCCCCGGCACTTTTCCCTGCAATCGCAGGAAGTGCTACACCTGCCCCTACACCTCCCCCCTCACCCCCATCCTAGGCCCCAAGAAGACCTTCCACATCAAGCAGATGTTCACCTGCTAATGCGGTATACTGTATCCCCTGTTCCCGATGTGGCCTAGTCTACATCGGGGAAACCAAGAGGAGGCTTGGGGACCGCTTTGTGGAACACCTACGCTCGGTTCGCGATAAACAACTGCACCTCCCAGTCGCGAACCATTTCAACTCCCCCTCCTACTCCTCGGACAACATGTCCATCCTGGGCCTCCTGCAGTGCCACAACAATGCCACCCGAAGGTTGCAGGAACAGCATCTCCTATTTCGCTTGGGAACCCTGCAGCCCAATGGTATCAATGTGGACTTCACAAGCTTCAAAATCTCCCCTCCCCCGACCGCATCCTAAAACCAGTCCGGCTTGTCCCCGCCTCCCTAACCTGTCCTTCCTCCCACCTATCCACTCCTCCCACCTCCAGCCCCACCCCCATCTCCTACCTACTAGCCTCATCCTGCCTCCTTGACCTGTCCGTCCTCCCTGGACTGACCTATCCCCTCCCTAACTCCCCATCTACACTCACCTTTACTGGCTCCAACACCGCTTCCTTGACCTGTCTGTCTCCTCTCGACCTATCTTCTCCTTTATCCATCTTCCATCTGTCTCCCCCTCGCTCTCTCTTTATTTCAGAATCCCCTTCCCCTCCCCCATTTCTGAAGAAGGGTCTAGAACAAAACGTCAGCTTTCCTGCTCCTATGATGCTGCTTGGCCTGCTGTGTTCATCCCGCTCTACACCTCGTTCTCTCTTTATGAAAGTATATTTCTTTTTGATGTTGCTTTAGTAGAGTGGATACTTCATAGGTACTTCATCCTTGCAGTGCAGAAAGAGGCCATTCAGCCCGTTGAGTCTGCACCAATCCTCTGAAGAGCATCCCGTCCACCCAGACCCATTTCTCCCCCCACCCCCTAAATCCCCATAAACCCACATTTCTCGTGACTAACCCACCTCGATTGCACATCCTCAGACACAATGGGCAATTTGGCATGTACAATCCACCTAACCTACACCTCTTTGGACTTTGAGCACCCGGAGGAAACCCTCTTAGATGCGGGGAGAATATGCAAACTTCACACAGTCAGCCAAAGCTGGAACCAAACTCAGGGTGCTGTGAGGCAGCAGTGCTAACCACTGAGTGACCGTACTGCCATGTCGTACTGAGGGATTCTCAATGGGTGCTTTGTTTCCTTTTCCTCTTTGATGTTTCAAGCAGAAGAGAAGTAATGGAAGTGAAATTTGAGGCAAATGAGATTTAAGAGCAAGGTAACTTTGTTAATTGTGTGCCTGTAGTACTGCATCTCTTAAAATTTCCAACAGTTAGTGAAAATATTTTGGGTTATGGTACATTTCGCATTAACAAATTGGCACAAATCTGTATTTTGCCCTGAACACAGTACAAATATCTACCAAATCAATATTTGCTACACTGCAAATGTTTTCTGGATAGTTTGCGATTTTCATTAAATTTACCTTTAGTCGAGTGACATATCTCACAGGAAGGCTGTTCCAATTATAGTTTTATTTGTAACAAAAGAGATTTATCAAATAGTGCTTGATTATTGAGAAATTATTGAATAAATTTGTTCCATAATGGGTGGTGTTTGCTTATTGTTCTGCTCTCTGATTTAATAATCCATGCTCTGACTGCAGCACCGCTAATCGTGGGTTGGATAGTGGCAATTATGAACATGAGTTATTGACTAACCTGAAAGGGATTCTTTGATAATGTCCAAGTGTCCAGTATCTGCATTCATCTGATTTATCGTGTCATGGTTCACAATTGGCTTTGAATGTTATAAACAGAATAAATTATTAGCTTGAGTTTCTTCCAGATTTTTGTTTAAAAACATGATATGCCTCCCCAGTTAAAGCTGTAATCTTATTTAAAAATTAAGACTGAAGCCATTTGCTCATGGGCACCATATAAACTGCCCTACTTTCTGCAAATCATAAATACTAGAGGCATAATTAGGATAATTTATGGAAAAATAAGCCTCAAATGTGAACTCTTGCCTGTATAATCATATCTGCAAATTTACTTTTGTCTTAGACAGTGGAAAACAGAAACTGTGAAGTGTTGACAGATCTGATAATCTTTTACCCCTTTGAGTTCACTGAGTTTTGACTGAGAAAAATGGTGAAGTCAGGTTGGTTTGGAATGGGGGAGGTGGGGGATATTTCAAGTCTTAGAAATCAGTCCCTTGTTCCCAAGCTGCCCATCTCTGGCTTTAACTGAAGCCAAAAGATGAT